CATCTGCTCAAGTTCTTCCTCTCTGCCTCCCTGCTCTATCCCCCACTCTGCGCCAACAGCCCATTCTTGCCCTTTCCATCTGGCCCTAGGTGACCTCACTGCAGACTGCCTTCCGTCTTAACCGAACTCAAAAATTGCCTTGAACATTGAGGTAGGAATTTGTCCTAGGTACCAGGCTCATACCCCTAAGGCTAGCAGGGGCTGGCCCTGCCTCCTGTCTGGCGTGCACTGTGTGACATTGATTTTGTCTACCAGGGGCTTGTTTTTGCCTGAGATCTGCAGCGTGTGCCTGTGACATCAAAGGTCTGAGTTGCTAAGATTGGATGCAAATCCACCTGAGTGACAAAGGGCTGCCCTAACTGGGTTTGACTTCCCCGGTATTGCAGACACAGACAGTATTTCTTCAGAAGTTGGCTTCTTACCTGCCCCTCACTGCTAATAATGTTTTGGGGCTTGATATTCCAGTTGCTGAATTTCTCCTTCCAAATATTTTAGCTTGCTTCCTCCAAATGCCCTGCTGATTTCCTCAAATGCATCATAAATCTCAGATCCAAATCTCCTCCTCTTATAGATCATCCCAATGTGCTGATCCCAACAGCACAGTGGGAACTCTCCAGCGTGATGAATGCCACTTGTGTGTTTGTAACACAGCCCTCAACTGTAGTGATGTCGAGATAAATCATGGGTCAGCACTTGCTCTCTGGCAGAAGCCAGGGACCTTAGTGTGTCCCCTTTATTTTATAGGTGAGTACAACAAAGCCCAGAAAGTTAGGTGACTTTCTCGAGGCCACACAGAAACAATTGGGACTAAAATCCAGGTTTTCTGTTTTCCACCATGGTACTATTTCTAACTTACCAAAAGCTATGACTTAAAAATACTAAAAATTGGCCAGGCACAGTGGCTTATGCCTGTAATCCCAGAACTTTGGGAGGCTGAGGCAGGTGAATCATTTGAGGTCAGGAGTTCGAGACCAGCCTGGCCAACATGGCGAAACCCTGTCTCTACGTGGTGGTGTGTGCCGTAATCCTGGCTACTTGGGAGGCTGAGGCAGGAGAATTGCTTGAACCCGGAAGGCAGAGGTTGCAGTGAACCAAGATCGCACCACTGCACTCCATCCTGGGAAACAGACTCAGTCTCAAAAAAAAAAAAAAAAAGAAAATTAAAGATTAATTTTAAGATTGTGGTAAAATATAAATGACAAAATTTATCAGATTAACCATTTTTAAATGTGCATCGCATATATGTTAAGTGTACAGTGGAATTAAGCATATTCACATTTTTGTGTAACCATCATCCATCCATCTCCAGAATTTTTTTCATTTTGTCAAACTGCAGCTTTGTACCCATTAAACACTAACTCGCCATTCCCTCCAACCCCAACCCCTGGAAAACACCACTGTAATTCCTGTCTCTGAATTTGACTGCTCCAGTCACCTCATATAAGTACACTCTTACAGTATTTGTCTTTTGGGGTCCAGTTTATTTCTCTTAGCATAGTATCCTCAGAATACTCTCGTTTTGTGCCATGTGTGATAATTTTCTTCCTTCTTAAGGCTGAATAATATTTCGCTTGTAGTGGTGTTTCTTTAAGACTATTTTAATATCTTAATAGAATATCGTACTGCTTTGTAGTATTGGAAGTTTGAACGGAGACTTTCCCAGTAGCGTTTTCTAAATGCCCACTAGGGGGCAGTAAAAACCACATAAATTTTTCAACAGGCCAAAGTAGTGCCAGGTAATTAGGCCACTACCTCCTCTGTGTATCTCTTTCAGCCATCTGTGTATACAGTTACAAGGTAATGGACTTCAGGTCCAACAGTGGCTTTGGATAAAACTAGAGATACCGTCAGTCGTAGCCTAAGTGCAAGTCTTCCTCACACTCCGGCTAACATCTGTGCAGAACACTTCATTGAATATGTTGGTTTCAGATGGTATCTTAATTTAATTCATTTAGTCCAATAATTCTCAGACAGAGTGCACATCAGAATCACCTGTGGTGATTTTTTCCAAAATACACATGACCAGGTCTCATTCCAGATCAATTAAATCAGAATTGCTGAGACTGGGGCTGAGGTACGTGGATGATATTTTCATTCTGGTCCATCACTTCTTTTTAGGAGCCAATGTGTTACTTTTTAACTTTAATAACTGCTGGGAAAGGGTCATTCTTGAATAAACCTCAGAGGAGAGTAAATATGAATTCTGAAAAATGTTTCTCTTTTAGGGTAGCAGTGGTGGAAGGGTCTAGTGGCTATGGGAACCACATTCTGAACAATTGTGAGGGTTTCCTATAGAGCCAGGCACCCAGACAGAAGATTTGAAACTGGGGCAGTCTGGCTAACTCAGGGTCTACAGATACAGTTCCTGGATGGCCATACTCAGGGCTAAAATCTTTAGGGTGGGCAGAGCACAGACATCAGTATTGTCTAATATATTAGGAGGAACTTTCCTATAGTAAGAGGAAAAAGAGATCTTCAATTTTATCTTAGAGGTGAAAATGGAACCATGAACTTGAGGTGGGGTCAGGATACCTAGGTTCTCATCCTGACCATCCTACTGGCCAGTTATGAGACCCAAGGGAAGTCATGTTGGCTCTCGGAGCCTCAGTTTCCCCCTTGAATTTTGAGAGCACTGGGTGATGTTGATCTCTGAAGATTCTTCTATTTCTAAAATTTCAATGACTCTATGAGTTTTAATAATCTTGATTTGTATGGCACTATTTTGGCAAAGAGCAGAAGTATTCAGGAATCCAGTGAGTAGCTGAGACTACTGACCATGTAGTTTAATTTATTTAAGGCATATACATGGAATTCAAAGGGAAAAATATTGCTCTGGATAATCTATCGAACTGTTAGTATCTTCGCCATAGCAAAAGCTTTCCAGAGGGAAAAATTTCCCATCAGTGCAAACCTGACATTTTTCACTTCCTGATCCATAGCTGCCATTTGTCCAGCATGCTTATATTTACTGTAAAGGCTGAGTGTACAATGCTTTGGATGAATATTAAGTAACTACATAAACGTCAAGGTCACAGTTGCAAGAAAGCCTTGGTGGAAGGCCCTGGGAGGCTTGCATTGATCTCTTGTGAAGTTCCACTCTTGAATCCTGCTGACAGGGGCAAACAATTGATGTGGACCATTATTAAGGCTCTAAGTGTTTCTCCGTTGTTAAAGATCTTTTACAAGCCTGGAATAACTGATAGTGCCCAAGGAATTGGCAAAAGCTTCATTTAGAAATATAGGCTGGTCAAAGAGATAAGTGCAACCGCGAGTGCAGTTGTCCTGGGTTGGGCTTACACAGCAAAGGTGGAGGGCTGAGAGGAGTCCCTCAGTGGGGCACCTGCCAACTCAGCCTGCCGGGCACTGCTCTCAGATTTCAGAGGGAAACTTTCACGCAAGAAGCTGCAGAGAGGATGGCTCCCTCTTTGAAATCCATCCTTACGTTTCCTCCAGCTTCTCTCTCCTGGTGAAAACCTCCTTTCCTGCCATTTCAGTCCATCCACTCTCCATAGCTGCAGGAAGCATCTCACCAGCATCGGGGGCAATGGGGTGAGGATGAATTATGCAGAACCACAGGTCCAGACCGACTATCTGGATGGTCAGGTTCTCAGATAGTTAATTATATGAGTGTTCTGCTGACCTGGAGCTGGGAGGAGAGCAAATACTGCAGACGACAGGATCTTGTTTGAAAAAGATCTCAACAGATGGAAGGACTGGTCAGGTCTACCAGATGAAGTTAAGAAGGGGCGTAAACATGAAACAGACATTTCCTGTGCACTAGCTCTGTGTGTGGTATTGCACTTGGTCCTTTGCACGTTTCAGTTTATTTCATCCTTACAATGACATAATGAGAGTAGGTGTCTATATCCCCATTCCTGAAGTGAGGAAACCAAGACATGGTGGGATAGAGGAAGGTCTGAGGGCTTTAGTCATCAATTTAGATTCCAATCCCAATTCTAATCCCATTAGCTGGCAAGTCACTTCATCTTCTTTTATTTTCATTTTTCTTTGAGACAAAGTTTTACTCTTGTTGCCCAGGCTGGAGTGCAGTGGTGCAATCTCTGCTCACTGCAGCCTCCGCCTCCTGGGTTCAAGCAATTCTCCTGCCTCAGCCTCCCGAGTAGCTGGGATTATAGGTGCCTGCCACCACACCCAGCTAATTTTTTGTGTTTTTAGTAGAGATGGGGTTTCACCATGTTGGGCAGGCTGGTCTCGAACTCCTGATCTCAGGTGATTCACCTGCCTTGGCCTCCCAAAGTGCTGGGATTACAGGCGTGAGCTACTGCACCTGGTCAAGCCACTTCATCTTCTAAAAAGAGCGACAGCCAGGCTTTGGACTGTCTTTTATTTGTCAGATTATAGGTACTTAGTCTCTTGCATTTATTATTGCATTTAATTCTCAAAACAACCTTACTCCTATTTCGTAGATGGAAAGGGTGTAGATAACTTAAGTCACTTGCCCAAGGCCCAGGATAAGGAGCAGAGCCAGTGTCTAAGCCCAGGCCATCTGACTCCAACACCCGTGCTCTTAGCAACTGTTGTACCCTCTCTGTTCCCGACATGAAAAGGCACAACCATATTTCTGGTGAGGGTTAGATGAGCTAATTAGGTAAGTGCCTGATATAGTGCTCACGGGAGCTCATAAATGATATTAGCTCACCATCATCATTATTCTCAGCACTATTATTAGTTACATGAACTGTTCAAGGTGGAAGCTAATAACTGGCAAAACCAGGATTTGAACCCAGGTCTTGTGACTGCCAATCCATTTCACAATAGAGCTCCGTCTCACTCTGGAGCACAAGACGGGGGCCAATCCTGATGTCATGATCTCAGTACCTTGTGCAGTGTCGTCTGCATGGAAGATGCTCGGCACATGGTCAGATCGACAGGGACCATCTTGTCACCCACTCATCACACATTTGCTAAGGCCTTGCTCTGTGCTAGGGATCCAGAGGGAAAAGAATATAATGTCAGCCATCCTTTTTTCCCCCTTCCAGGTTCGAATGGTGAAAGATGATGACCCTTCCTGGAAGCCCACTTTTATTGTGAAACCTGATGGTGGTTGTCAGGGTGACGGAATCTACCTCATTAAAGACCCCAGTGACATCCGCCTGGCAGGGACCCTCCAGAGCAGGCCGGCGGTGGTCCAGGAGTACATCTGCAAACCTCTCCTTATCGACAAGCTCAAGTTTGATATTCGTCTGTATGTCTTACTCAAGTCCTTAGACCCCTTAGAGATTTATATAGCCAAAGATGGACTCTCCAGGTTTTGTACTGAGCCATATCAGGAGCCCACCCCCAAAAACCTGCACCACATCTTTATGCACTTAACCAACTATTCCCTGAACATCCACAGCGGCAACTTCATCCATTCAGACAGTACTAGCACAGGCAGCAAAAGGACTTTTTCCAGCATCCTTTGTAGACTGTCTTCCAAAGGCGTTGACATCAAGAAGGTCTGGTCTGACATCATCTCCCTGGTGATAAAGACTGTCATCGCGCTGACTCCAGAGCTCAAGGTCTTCTACCAGTCAGACATCCCCACGGGGAGGCCGGGCCCCACATGCTTCCAGGTAACCAGTTCTCAGCCTGCGTTTCAGCCTTGACCAGCCTCAAGAGGGCTCTCTGGCTTCGTGTGGGATGCGTGGTGGGGTGGGGTGGGCAGAGGAGGGGACCGGAGCGGTGGCACTGTGGGCTTTGGTGTTAAACCTGGGCCCAATTTCCAGCTTTCTGTTTGCTAGCTGTGTGACTTGGGGCAAGCTGCTTCCCTTCTGTTACCTGTAAAATGAAATGAAGAATATCTACCTTGAAAGGTTCTTGTAAGAATTAAATGAGATAACATGCGTAAAGCAGAGTTTTACATTCATTTGTTTACTCATTTATTCATTCATTTACTCATTCTACAACTTTTGCCACATGCTTAGAGGGGTCAGGCATTGTCCCGGGTTCTTTTGAGACAGTAAGTCAGGGCCTTGCTGGCTGATGCATAGAGTCTGTTGTGAGAGATGGATAATTTAAAAAGCAATGATTGTAAAGGGTTACAAGTGCTAGAATAGAATAGGAAACGTCTGAGGTGCTGTGAGATGGTGGAGCCATGCCACATTCTCTGGGCAGGCGTGGCATGTTCAGGGAAGGCTTCCCAGAAGAAACAACAGTCAAACTGGAACCTGGAGTGACAGTTAGTCGGAGCAGGAGAGACTGGGTAAGGGTGAGGGAGACACAGGGCTCCAGGTGGAAATGCGCTGGAGCCAGAGACGTGAGCGGGAAGCATGAGGAGCTGGTGGAGGTTCAGTTTGGTTGCCGGGTGGGGTGTAAGTCAGAGATGTCAGGGGAGATGAGGGAAGGTGAGATGGAAGGGAAGGTAGGGACTGTCTCACGGAGAGCCTGGGCATGGGAGGTCGAGTCCCTGGAGAATTTTAAGCAGGGGAAAGATGCACCCAGATTTGCATGTTACAAAGAACAGCATACCGGCAGGGTAGAGAATACACTGAGGCAAGTCTGGAAGTGGGGAGGTCCCTAGGAGACAGTTGCTTTCACAGAAGCTGGAGAGGATGCTGGTTTGGACTGGGAAGGTTGTGGTGCAGGTAGGGGGAATAGACAGATTTGGGTGCCAGGGAAGGAGCTAGAAAGGCTCAACTTGGTGACTGAATGAGGCTGGAGAGAGATGACAGATGGTGGCAGTGAGGGCAGGAGGAACCGAGACGGATGTGCAGGTGGCTTGGGTACTTGCATGGATGGATAGAGGCCCCTGGAAGAGGACCAGGCTGTTGGGGGATGGTTGGGAGTTGGACCTGAAGTACCTATAAGGCATGCAAGTGGAGAGATTGAGGGGACAATTGGATATTTGGAGCTTGGAGCTTGGATTTCAGGGGACAGAGGTCTGGGTTGGGACAGAGATGGGAACTCATTGGCAGATGGTGACCCAAGAGGGTGACGAGAGGACTGAGAAGATACCTGTGGGCACCACTGTTTAACTAAGGGACAGGCAGGGAAGGGAGAGGGAGCCAGAAAAGGAGGCCAAGAAGGAGTGTCTTGAGATAAATACCGGAGAAAGACCCCGGAATGCCAAGGAAGAGGTGCTTGGAGAAGCAGGCAGGGGTTGGCGCATCCAATGCTGCTGAGATGCCAGGCAAGACCAGCACTGAAACTGTCCACTCCATCCACAAGGGGTTGACTGGAGACAGAGAGAATTGTCTTCAGCAGAGCAATGGAGCCAGAGTCTGGTGGACTCAGAGTGTGGGAGCGAAGGAAATGAGGAATGAGGCTGGAACCTTCTTACAGGACATTCAGCTGTGACAGTGCGGGGTGGGGAGACGTGGCATCCAGACACTCCAAAGGCACACACACTTTCCTGCCCCCAGATTAATCCGTGTGGGAGGAGAAGAAAGGAAGGGACAGCTCTGGGACCCTCTCCATCTAATTCTTAAAGTTATTTTGTAGCACTTGATAGATATGAAAAAAGAATACATGGAACATATTTGTAAGCCATGAAGCCAAACAACAAAATGATCACCCCAAACCCTCCTCCCAGCCCAAGACCTCCAGCCAGTGTGTTTCTCCCCAGAACCAGGTCCCTGCCCAGCCCTGGGGTAAACATCACCCTGAATTTTATGTTTATTATTTCCTTGCTTTAGAAAATACTTTCATTAGGCGTGAATCCCTAAACAATGTATTATTTTGTTTTGCTTGTTCTTGAGTTTTATAAAAATGCTGTTATAAAGTATGGAGCCTTCTGCAACATTCTTTTCCGCTACACGTAAGGTTTCAAAGGTCCACCCATGCTGGTGGGGATCGTGGGCACTGTCTCGTTTGCACTCTTGTAGATTCCATTGTGAACATGCACAATTTATTATCAGTTCTTCTGTCAAGGAGCATTTGGGTTATTTCTAGTTCTCGGCAGGTGGGTAACAGGTCTCTTGGGACAAGAAGGGAGAAGGAAGGGAGTGGGGCAGTGTCTCTAGTGGATGGGGCATTCATTCAACAGCAGAAGAGGAGGCTGGTCCCAAAGTGCAGCCCCAAACCCAGAGAGGCCACCCCAGGGGCTGGGCACCAGTCAGCAGGATTTCCAGACGGGCTGGCGGGACCCTTTGGAGGGGAATTCAGGCCAGGATTAGTACCAGGAGGGGGTAATTGCCATCCAGAGATCTGTCCTGAGAAACTTAGACCCCTGGCCTTTGGTTCCCAGGGAGGATGGACAGCTCAGCCATCAGGTAGGTGGTTTAAAATATTAGAAAGAAGAAAAAGGCAGAACTTAGAGGTAGGACCAGAGAAAACAAGTCCTGACCTAAGCCAGCAAAAAGTTAGGGTCAAGGAGATAAGTTGCAACGTGGACACACGTCCAGGGGTCATCCCGGGGGACCTTGTGGTCACATCTGTTTGACAATGACAGCTATTCCAGGAGTATCATGTGGGCCCAGCAGGCAGAGCCAAGCCACAGAGCCCTGGCTTGGACCGAGTGGCAGGGTGGAGGGCCAGGCTGCTTGTTTTGCTACTCGTCTTGCTATGGACAGACCACATGGGGCAGCCATCGGTGGGGCCCAAGCTGTGGGGAGCTGGTGGAAGGGGCAGACAGGGAGGGAGCCACTGGTTTGATCAGATCATGTCTAGCAGATGGAATCACAGCCTTGGGACCATCTCCCACTGCTTGGCCACTAAATGCTTCCAGGCCTGGGTGAGAGGAGGAGCGCAGCGTGAGAGGCCGGGCGAGAGGAAACGCTCTTCCTCTTCCCAGCTGTGCCAGCTCCAGCTCGTTTCTTCACCACGCTGAGCCTCTGCCGCTTTCTCTGTAAATCACCAATGCCCACTTCCCTGCCTGCCTTTTATTGTGAAGTAATGTAGGTGACAGCGCTTTGACAGGGTATAAGGTGTTAGATATTTGGAATTTGTCTTGCCATACATTTCAGATTCCCTGTCACCGAGGGAGAAAATGGCATCCTTTTCTCCTTGTAGCCATCTCCGACTTCATTCTTACCACTTGTAAGAACACTTTGCTGGGGTCTCAAACACCAGAGCTGACTTGGAACCTAGAGATTTAGGGACCCAGTTAGGTTCTGCCATCGACTTGCTGTGTATTCTTATATAAGTCACTTAACTTCTCTGTGCCTCTTCTTCCTTGCCTACCTCACAGGGTTGTTGTCAAATTCCAGTGAGATAAAGATTATGAATGGCTTTTCAAGCTGTAGTGTTTGGTGCAGATAGAGCACATTGCTTCTTTGCCGTACAGCCTCTCCCGCTCATTGCCTGGGCTTGGCCCAGATTGCAGTATTCCAGAACATAAACTCTAGCCAGAGAAATGACGTGTATCTTAAACACGTGACAGTGAACGCTTTTCAATCACAGCCATAATAACTACTTGGGAAATTGTGATGGCCCGAAGCAGTTGTGGGCACTGCTTGGGCTGTGGGCAGGTTTCCTGTAATCTGCTGCTGAGGAACGTGGCTGCCCTGTCATTCCAGCCTGCCCCCTGTCATTGCTTAGGTAGCTCCCAGCGACATATCCTCATGTCAGTCTTCCTGAGGGTACCAGTATGACTCTGGTTTAAACAGTGAGGCCTGCCTCAGTGTAGATGAATTATATGGCAGAAATAACACATGCGGAGGAAAGGCTTCCAGCTTAGCTTTCAAGAACGTTCTTTCCCAGTTCCATTGCTTGGTCTGTATCTTCTTTTAGCTCCCTGTGTCTAATTCTCTCCTTGGCCCATGATCCTTTCCCTTAGATGCTTGAAGGAGGTGCTATTCCTAAATCCTAAGATGTTTCTTCTGTTTATTCTCTCTTTTTTTTTACCTCCCCCTTACCCTTCAGCCCAGTCACCCCAAGGGAAGAAGGTCAAGGAGCAATCCAGTGAAAGGTCAAGGGCTTGGATTTGGTTCTTAGACGGCCTGGGTTTGGCCTGGGGTTGGCACCTCTAGTTAGTCTGTTTGGCAAGTTAGCAATCATAGCCTCAGTTTCTTTATCTGCAGTTAGAGATCAAATTTGTACGTCCCTCTCAGAAGCATCACAAGCGCAAATAAGAGCAAGGAAGAATCTTCAGCACAGCACCTACCACATAGGAATCAATAAATGACAGTTTTTATGATTATTCCATTGTTTGTTTTCTGTAACCACAACAGTTCTCAAATTTGTCTATGAAGAAGTGCCCTGATGTTATAAGAAACCATGAAATATTCACATCTTAAACTTAACGGGAACACCAGTGTTCCAAGGAGCAGAGTTTGCAAACCATTTCCATAGCCTGGTATTTGTCACCCTGACCCCAGCCCCAGTCTAGCTTCACTGTACCCGCCCTGAGACTTGCAGTCTTGCAAAACAGATACGATTACTGTCTCAGACATAATTTGTGCTTCCCATTTCTGCCCTTTGGTTCTCTTCTGTCTCGGCTGACCTGGCGTGCTCTCTCCCATTCTCGGTTTCTTAAACGTCAGTGCCCTCCAAGGTGCTACTCAAGCCCTACCTCCTAGATAAAGCCGTCTTCCAAAAACCACTTCTCATCGTTCAGCTTTTTCTTCCTTTGGGCTCTAACAGGTTCCCTGGGCACTCCTGAGATGAGCCCTGAGCTAGTGTGGGCGTGTGGTTA